TGATTTATACGTGTTACTCGTTACAGAAATGATAAATATATTTTCACCTAGCATTACTATTAAACTTTGTCTTAATATTATTCACTCAGGTCATTTTAACTTGAGAATAATTCATGTACATTCGGTACAATAGCGAAGATTGTTGTAATCGGATATAAAAAGTATTAGAAAATCTGGATTTAAGCCTTAGAATATTTGAAAATGTTTTATTATGAACCCCATTTTAATGACTTATGATGTTAACGTGCTCTATAAAATTCCAGTGATATTATTAATAATGATGTTAAATAGTGACGGTCCTAGTATTAAGCCCTGTGGTACTCCTGACAGAACATATGTGTTCTTTGATTTATATCCCGCGTTGAACATACTAGCCTCTATTCTGTATATGATTTCAAAAGATTTAGGCAACTGTCAGTCAAAGGCCTTGGAAAAATCTGTCTACAGTACAGTACATCAACCTCCCTCTCTTTATCAAGCACGTTAGATGTAAAGTATGTTATACAAATAAGATTAGTTGAAGTTGATTTTCTAATGTTGAAACTATGTTGATTCTAGTTAGTGTTATATTTTACATGGTTATAAACTGTTATGTAAATTTTTCTTCCAAAACCTTGCCAAAGTTGCTTATAACTGTTAGTCTGTAGCTTTGAATTTCACTACTTCTACAAATTGAAAATGAAGACGCAAAATGATCTGCAAAATAGTTGGTTATAGTTTCACTGAGGTCAAATACTGTTAGTATAAGTCATAGCGGATGGAGCCGTAGCAGACAGAGCCGAACGAGAAATCATTTTGTTAGATACGTACGACCAAAGACCAATCGGTTTTAATGTTACTCGATATTCTAATTTTTTAATGAAATTCGTATATGAAATTTTAATATCTCTTTTTGTATTTTTGGTATTTCTAACAAAGTATAAATTTTGTCATAAAAATAATTACATGCTACATTCACATCGTTATACTGTTGCGAATACGATCAATCAGCATTACATCACAAACTTACACACAAAGCCTTATAGTTTGTTTTTTCAAAATTGTAACGTAATACTGGATTTCATTGCACTGTCTAAAATATATGTCTGTCAACTGAAGGATAAAGTGATCTTCTTTTAGTAATACGTTGATTGATTTTCAGATGCAATGAAGAAAGGATAACAGTTATTATCAATTTTTATATAATTAAATAGATTTAAACAAAAGAGGTATTACTGCCTTCTATAATAAATTCTGGTTGATTGAAATCTCACACATTTAATAGATTATGACCACAGATCAGTTCATAGTTTTCAATAGCTTCACACCAAAAGTCTTATGTTTCAGATTTTTATAAATTTACTGCATATTGTAAAAAATTTGAAGTAGCATACTAATAATAATTTATCAATTCTAAGTCAGCAATTTATATTAATTTTGAACCATGCGTTATTTAGCTTTACGTTATCTTAAGACTATTGTATTGATTTTAGTTAAAATGGTACATAAGCCATGGTAACCAGGGGTAGAGCTGAGTGGACTACGACCCACCCAACACCCAACTACGTGGACGAAGTCAAAAGGTCGTAGACATAGAGAAATATGTAGAATCTTTTGACAAGTACTTTCGAAAAAGAAATAGCTGTATAAAGTAGTATAGTAACAGTTGTCTTATAAGTTTCGTCGTATTTTTTGTAACTCATCTAAACAACTGATATTGAAGCAATTTTAATTTGATTAAATGAAAAAAAAAGATTTAATTTTAAGTGTTAACGATAATTTCATTATAAGAATAATAATCCAAACACTTAAAATGCATATATCATATTATTTAATCTATATTCTTTTTGTTTGAAATTATAAGAAAATATAAATATTTGGTTGAAATTGCTAATAACGTATTTCTCTTAACTTTTAGACGAAGGTAAGTTGGGTTACGTTGTAAGATGTCAATTAATGTAAGTAGGATAACAAAAAGAGTGCTGAATATTTTCGAGCCGAAGATGTCTATTCGAGCACATTAATACATCAGGAAATCGGTCCAATATTGGATCTCTCAAATAGCAGTACATTGAAGACTAGTTCGGCGATGCACCGACACAAATCTACGTAAATACTTTCAGAGTACATTGACAGCAACAGATGAATATTGGATTTGAAATAAATGACATCTGATATACAACTACATACATTCAGAGTTTTCAAAATGTATTTCGTAAGAAAAAAACTTTAGAGGCCTCTTGAATATTAAATACTCTCGTTCTAATACCTAAACTTTGAAAATTAAATAATCGTGCACTAATTAAATCGTATCATAATGATATTAATTTTTTTACCCACGTTTTTGGAAGGATTAATAAAGAAAACAAATCGAAAAAAAAATTACTAATTTTTGCCTATCTTCCCTTAAAATTAATGACATTATGAATGAATCACCTTATATAATAAACCTCTCCATAGTGGTGTAACATTAATTTATATATTTTCCTTTATATTTTATTATTCTGTATTGTACCTCGAAAAAGAAGTGCCTACGGACACGAGTTTAATTTTGTTTTAAATTTTGCTCTATCATTCAAATTTAGCCTTAGTTACACTATACTTTTCTGTGATCCATTACTCTATACTATGCGGATTAATTACGATACAAAACAAATACAAAAACATAGACGTGCTTCACTTCTATAGAAGCATATATTTAAAGAGAAGAAAATATACAGGGTATATCTCTAAGTAGGGGTCAGTTTTTTAGGGGTAACAGTATGTTTTCAAATGGATATATATCTAATATTCTTTTTTTAATCAAATAAATAGTCGATTTATAATTAGTTTTTAAACTGCACTATAACTCTTATTTACGTCACCACCAGGCCATTCGGAATTAGCGTGGTAAGTTGTATCAATGCACTCTCAGCACTGCCAGTTGCTACCTTTCTAAAACAACTGGAAAATAACATGGTAAAACAGATTTGTTTTTGTATGACTTAGCGACGTGTCACTATACAGGGTGTTTCTAAAATAAAGTTCCAAACTTCTGCTGCGTTTATAACTCATTAAAATAAGCCAAAAAGTTCCTATTAACATGTGCCCTAAAACGCACCCTTAGGAAGTTATATGCCCTTAAAAGGGCTCAAACAAAACTGTTTTTTTTTCTGTTATTGACAAAACGGTCGCAAATAAATAGAAAAAAATTATGGGTCTTACATAACTTTTTACGTTAAATAACATGGGCTACTCCGTTTTTCGACATGCAAATCATATGCGTCCCATTTAGGTTGGTGAAGGGGGTTTT